AAAATCCTCAGCAAAAAAAAAAAAAAACAAAACAGGAGGTATCACATTACCAGACTTCAAACTTTACTATAAAGTTACAGTAATCAAAACAGCTTGGTATTGGTACAGGAACAGGCATATAGACCAATGGAATAGAATTGAGATTCCAGAAGCAAAACCTTAATTTCTCAACCAACTCATCTTCGACAAAGCCTCCACCACCCACCACTGGGGAGAGGAGAACCTATTCAGTAAATAGTGCTGGGGAAACTGGCTGACCACATGCAGAAGATTCAAACAAGACCCCTGTTTATCCCCATACACAAAAATTAACTCTAAATGGATCACAGACTTAAATGTAAAACCTCAAACTATAAGAACCTTAGAAAATGCAGGACACACCCTTATGGAAATTGGAACTGGCATCCAATTCCTGAACAAAACCCGAAAAGCACGGGCCATAAGAGATAAGATAGACAAATGGGACCTCATTAAACTGAAAAGCTTCTGCAAAGCCAAAGAAACCATCAAGAGAGCAGGGAGACAGCCCACAGACTGGGAAAAAGTATTTGCCTACTCCATGTCTGACAAAGGCCTCATTCATTATTAAACTGTGATGTCATTTCAATACTGATCACCCCTAAATCTCCACATCCAGCCCAGTCCTGTCTTGAATCCCAGCTTTATGTCATACACATGTGTATACTTGTACTCTTAGGCATTTCCAATGTTATGTCCACACCTATCTATAAATTTCTTCTTGTACATTTCATCCTATTTCAGTACATGGGACTATCTTTTGCTCAAGCACAAAACATGGAACTTATCCTTTATTTCTCCTCGTTTTCCTTGCACCCAATCTATTCCTGAGTTCTATCCATTTTATTTCTAAAATATGTCCATTCTTTTAATTTCTTGCTGTATTCACTACTCCACCTTAGCCCAAGTCACTATATTCTCTTATAGGGTCCTAGAACTCTAGCCCCTGGACTCTCCCTACTGCCTTTATTGTCACATCCGATTTCATCAATCTTCCACTTATAGCCAAGATGATCTTTTTATAAAGGAAATCAGATCTTTTTATTTTTACAATTAAAAATGCTCAAAGGCTCCCTGTTGTGTATCCAAACTTATTATCTTTGGGTACAGAGTACTTCATAGTATAACCCTGCTTACTTCTCCAGCCCTCCAGGGACCACACAGACCTTTCTGTTTATTAACAGTGCCCAGCTCACTCCTGCTTCATGGCCTGAGTTCCTGTTGTTCTTCTTCAAACTTTTGGTGTGGCTGACTGCTTCCCAAAGTTGAAGTCTCCTCTACTTAACTGACTTCTCAGTGGTCCTTTCCCCAACCATTCTTAATGGCTGTGTGTGAACCTCTCTCCCAATGCCATACTCTTTATCTCAGCACACTGTTTATTTCTTCCATAGAACTAAGTGTTTTAACATTATTAATTTAATTTACTTATTGTATGTCTCCCCAATTTTATCCTACCTAGTTCAGATTTTAGTTATCTGGAGGCAGGGCCCGCATCTACCTGCTGACTATGATGCTTGCAGAGCACTGACATTAATTAAATCAATATTTGAATGGAATAAATGCATCTGAATAGGCAGAGAAAATGGGACAGAGATAACACCAGCATGTTTCAGACAGGTGAAAATTTATGAGCAAAATCAGTGTCAGAAATGTTCTAGAAGTATTTGTGGGCAGTTAATCTTTATCCCCTGACCAGAACAGAAGGTAATATAATGTCATAGTGTAGAGTATTATATTCAGAAATAAGTTTGGAGAAGAAGATGAAAGCAGGTCTGAAACACAAAACTAAAGATTTTGGGCTTTGTCCCATATGCATTTGTGTCCCATTAAAGTTTTTAGTCAGGCAATAAAATGAGCAAGAACACTAAGCTAGCCCTGGTGGGCAGTGTTAGTCTTCTAACACTAACTTAGTCTTAATTTTACATGGATGATATCCAAGTTTTTAGATGACTTCTCCATTTTCCCCACCAGACCTTTAGCTCTTTCAGGGTACATACAATGCCTGAATCACCATATGAGACCACAGCTCAGAACACTGTGCTTAGCATATAAGAGGTGCTCAGTGAGTATGTTTTGAATGTATGAATGAATTAATAAATAAACACGAGGGCACAAGTGTGCTATAGCAGTTTAGATGTGCCTCCTCTGAACTGCTCTTTTCTCTGGAAGGGTGGTATCAAAATGGAAGATTAAGTAAGTGCACAGAGGATACCTTGCTAGCCTACCTTCCAAAGCAGCTAAATGGTAGACTAGTCTTGTCTTTTCTTGACTTCCTCAACCTTGTGAGGGAAGTCTGTTAGAGGGTTAACAACAGATATTCTGCCTGACTCTGATAGTGCCATGCACTTCATTGATTAATATATACAGCAAACATTTTCTTGCAAAAACTTGGTTGATGCAATCTAAATATTCTTTCAGAGAGGTCTTCTTAATTGTAATGACATGGTATAAATACAAGAAGAAAGAATGTCAATTATCACTTCGTATAATAACAGTGTTAGTGCTCATGCACATAAATTATAAGTAAGTTTACCTCTTTAAAAGCAAGAAAAGTGCTCAGTTTTGCAATTTAAAACTTCTGAATATGCCACATTTTAAAATTATGTCATTACAACCAATAGAAGTTAGTAATCACCACTAAAGTGCATGTTCTTGAATAGTTGATGAACTACTCATAGTGAAATTCTTTTTTAAAAAATCACTTGAAATGGCAAAATTTAAAGGCACCTATGTTATATTTATTTTCAAACATTTCAAACTCATTCAACATGCTTTAAATATCTGTAATGTAGCAAATATGAAAACTTCTGAGCCGTACTACCTGATATGGCAGCTAATAGTTACACATGGCGATTTAAGTTCAAATTTTTGTTAATTAAAATAAAATAAAAAGTTCAGCAGCATTTCAGGTGCTCAGTAGCCATATGTGACTGGTGATTAACCATATTGAGCAGCCCAGAATAGAACATTTTCATCATCACAGAAGGTCTGTTGGATGGCATGGCTCTGAAGAACAGAAATGAATATGGCCCATAATGAGCACTTTACTTATAGCATCAGGAATTACTGGCGTGTATCAAAGATTTGTTTTTGGAGCAAATATCTTTGCCCACTTTAAAGTGTCCCTGCTCCCAGTAGAGAATAATCCTAAATCAAATTATGGTCACTAGATTAGAGATGAGGTTTTATCTTTTTGTGTGTCTTATCTGTTTGAGATAGTTGTATATTTTCTTATTTTGTTGTAAGCCAACTGTAATGTTGTTCTACCAAATGACATTTTGAAAGCAAACAACTTCAAGGTATTAGCCTAAACCAGAACTCATCCTTTATACTCTGATCTACTGGCTTTAAGTTCTCTTGTCTATAAAAGTAATAACTCATAACAGTTTTGGTTGAGTTCCTGCACACTTTATTGGATCCAGGATTTGAAAAGTCTGAGTAGGACAGCTTATCATAAAGCATCTGACAGTGAATACATCATAAGGGTTTATTGGATAAAGATGCAATCTGAGTCCATCTGCTCAAGATATTTTATCACTTTCTTATTCTTTTGCAGATCACCTACAAAGCAGTCAGTTCCTTTGACCCAGAAATAGATTTATCCAATCAAAGTGGAAGAGTTTCAAAACTGGGAAATGAAACCCATTTTCTGTTCTTTGGACTGTATCCTGGGACCACATACTCCTTTACGATCCGAGCAAGCACAGCTAAGGGTTTTGGGCCTCCAGCAACAAACCAGTTCACCACCAAAATATCAGGTACTCTACATTCCTGAGTTATATCTTTTATCAGAAGTAGCATTTTATATTTTTTCATTCCCATTGTCAAGTATTCAAAGTTCACTCACACTAACACATTTTATCCAAATGGATATCTCTGGATGCTAACACTCGTGTTCATGTTATTAAATGAAATACTACAAATATTTATCATTTGGAAGCTTAAGATCTTCATGTGTTAGGAAGTGGCCACTATTTAGGCAGTAGTTTGCCTTGCAGGACTTGGACAAGAGGTGGTAAAAGGTTCTGTTAAGGCACTCTTGACCCCTTGGCAATACCAACTTACCAGAGCAGCAGTGTGGAAAGTGTCTCTAATGAACCGTGAACAGTCAAGAGGTCAGCAGAGAGGTAGTGTTGTAGGGAGCCCATTTCCAGAAGAATCAGCCTTCCTTTTTTTTTGAGTTGGAGTCTCACTCTGTCGCCCAGACTGGAGTGCAGTGGCCGCTTCCGGCCACTGCAGCCTCGACCTGCTGGACTCCGGCGATCCTTCCGCCTCAGCCTTCCGAGTAGCCGGAACTACAGGCATGCGCTACTATGCCCGGCTGATTTTTTGATTTATTGTAGAGATGAGGTCTCACTGCCCAGGCGGGTCTCGAACCCACGGGCTCAGGCAATCCACTCACCTCAGCCTCCCAAAGGCACGGGATTACAGGCTGAGTCACGGAGCCCGGCTCCTGGAGACTTTTACCATTAGTAATTTCCTTTCCTGAAGACAGCGGCAACATACAGGATGGTGTCAGGCCAATTTTGCTTTTAGATACTCAGTTACGCCATCCAACAAAAGACATAATTTGAGAAATATTTCTAGGCATGTTCAACTGTGCAGAAAATGTCCTTGTACTTCAGACTAGAGGAAATTAAGTTGCCATCTGGTATGGGATATGTAACGGCAATAAACAAAACTCCTTGGACATTTTCTTCTTCCATTTTTTCCCCTTTTGGGTGTGACTGCAGAAGTATATGAGTTTTTGGCTCTATTTTGGTTTGGGTTAGGGTAGGTGGGATGGAGGTGGGGAGGAAGGTAAATCTTTAATCAGCCCCAATTAGAGCAGTAATATTCAACCTATTATATCTTTCATTTTTCATTTCTAGTTTTGTAAAAGTTTTTATTTGGAGTTGAAAGAAGGAAATATTCACAACAGGAGCATTATAAGCGTTCTGCTAGGTTTTGAGGGAGGAGTGTTTGGAATTTTGTTTTTAAGCAGTTATAACCTAAGGGATAATTTTTCATTGAGTAAGATTTTATTTATAAGCATAAACTTGATGTGGAATTTAATGTACTTTTTATATTCTATATACCTGTATAGAATTAGGTTTAGGAACAATATAGAGAGTTGGAAAAAAAGTAGCTCTTGGGAGGTTAGAAAAAGCAGAGATTAGAAAATAGAACAGGTTGTATAAAGAGTATGTAGAAATATCACTGGACTTGGAATCAGAAAATCTTGGCTCGAGTTATCATATTTCTATGTACTTCCTCCCTGATTTTGAGCAAGTGAATTTACCCCTGCATGTAAATTAAGATTATATTATCTAGTGCATGAATTTTTCATTGGAATTTAAAGAGGAAATATCGGCCAATAGGTATACCTTCAAACATTTTTCAAAAAATTGTCTCATATGTAAACCATACTTCAGAAATTATTATCATAAAGAAAGAGTTCCTTTAGGGGAAAAAAAAAGTCCACTTTCCCGTTTTTATTAGATAAAAAATTCTGGTGATTTTGACAATTTTTAGCATGTGAAGTTTATATAATTCTATCCAAAAGCAAAGAAACTTGACATTTTAGTTAGCCTATGCAGAATCATCAAGAATAACTATTTGATTTTTATAGTTTCAAAACATTTAAGTTTATGGACCTTATTTCCTATTTTCATAGACCTAGGAGAAGGAGGTACTCTCATATGCAAAATGTAATTGGAGTTAATTTTTAATAGAACTGAAATTAATTTTTAATGCTAAGAAAATTCAATAAATGGAACTGAGAATTAATCCATGTCTGTTACATTGAAGCTTTTTTATATGTAAGACAATTTTTAAGAACGGTATTTGCAAGAAACAATCTCTAGCTTCTCATCTAGAATCTCTATCTGTGGGTTGTAGAAAGATAGTATAGCCTCCCACTCACAGCTCCATGTAATCATTTGTCTTCTCTATGGTGAGGGCATAATTACTGAAGAGCTCTGTTGTTATCCTAGTGTAGTACGACTTAACAATCTAGAGAAGAAAGAATGTCAGGAAATAAATGGCCTTGGAAATAGGATTCACATGGGGAGAACTAGCATTTGTAGAATTATATTTACCTAGCGCACATGTAGAATTGTATTTACTTCACTATTTCTCTCTCTCTCTCTCTCTCTCTCTCTCTCTCCCCCCTCCCCTCCTCTTCCCTCCCTCTTTCTCTCTCTCCACCCCCTCCCTTTCTTCTCCCTCTCCCCCCCCCACATACATATATGAGGGGGAACCCAAAAAACAGAATGTATTTATAAAAAACTGTGTATTCTTACATGTTTAAACTTCAGTCACCTTCAAAGTACTCTCCATTTGATGTAATACACCTCTTGAGATGCTTTTTCCAGTGCTCGAAAAAGTTTTTGAACTCATCAATTTTGATGCTTTTTAGTGTTTCTGCCATTTTGTTGTTTCACCTCTTCCACATTGGCAAAGTGTTTCCCTTTGAGGACTTTTTTTCATCCATTGAAACACAAAAAGTCATTTGGGGCAATATTGGGTAAATAGGGAGGGCAGGGCACAGGGGTCATACTGTTTTTGGTCAAAAACTGCTGAACACTCAGCACAGTGTGGGCAGGTGCTCTCCTAAATCACCCATCCTGAAATGGGCAAATGTGTTGAAAGATTCTTCAAAAAAATTCACTGAAGCTGAACACTGATGCTGATGGATTCCTATGGGGGAAGCCTGTAACATAAGGAGCTTGCCTTCCAAAACTATTTTTTGGGGGTCCCCCTATATATGTATGTATATGTGTGTGTGTGTGTGTGTGTGTGTGTGTGTGTGTGTGTGTGTGTGTGTATAATATCTCTGAACTGTCATAATAACCTTAGAATCTAGTTTCCTCTATTTTGAGAGACATATAAGCTCCAGAGGTAACTAATGTACCTAAGCTTTTTTGCTGGTTAAAACACAACAAGCCAAACTCAAGCCTTTCTTACCTCAACTCCCATGTTTTCCGTTGTTGTGTTTTCCTGAGAGCCCACATATTGTCACTAATTAATTCCAAGTCTTTCTGGCTTCCACTGTCCTCTTTAAATCCCAAATGGGTATTTGGTACATGAAAAAGTTTGACTTAGATGGGACAACTGTAAAGTCCAGTGATTATTTCTTAAATATGCCTTTACTGTAAACATTTTATTGAAGGTCTCATAAGTGCACAGAGGTGCATACTTATAAGTGTACAGCTTGATGAATTTTCACAAGGTGACTATACCTGTTTAGTGGGAGTCCAAGTCAAGAAACAGAGTATCACTAACACCTGACAAAACCCCCTGCATATCTTCTTCCAACTTTAACTCAAGATTGGAGCGGTCACTGTGGACTAGTTTGAGCAGCTGTCCCTAGTATTCTGTGTAGGGAATATACATAAACTTTTCATGGTTGGTTGATAGCTACAGTTGAAAATAAGTGCACTGTGTTCTTAATATTCTTTGTAAAATAAAGTGGGAGAAGTAAACTAAGAAGGTAAGCTGGAAATAATAAGTCTCCATTGTATGCCTTTTTCCCCAGCACCCTCTATGCCAGCTTATGAACTTGAGACACCTTTGAATCAAACTGACAATACAGTGACAGTCATGCTGAAACCTGCACACAGCAGAGGTGCACCTGTCAGGTATGGAACCAGGGGTTGGGCTGACCCTAGAGAGAAGAAATCTAAAGTCAAGTTGATTAATTTCTCCAGTGTGTTTTCTAGGGATTTGCAACAAACTTCAGTCAGCATGTAAACCCATATCTTTATATTAGCTCTAATTAAAAGAAATAACTGAGGAAAATGAAAGGACTTTGATGTAAGGTGATCAAGTATTGTTTAAAGGGTATTATTCTGATGCAAGTGGGTTATTCTTTTGAAGATAAGGAACAAAGCCCTAGTCTGTTGAGGCAGTAGCTTTAAATTAAAAGGTAATTAATTGTTTGCTGTAATTGAGTTACCTGAGGGCAGAGGACATTTTTTGTCCTGAGCTCTAGTCTTTAAATGGGCTTTTTGTTGTTGTTGTTATTGTTGTTTGTTTGTTTACTTTGGGTTTTATGTTATTTAACTCTTAGTCAATTTACTAATTTCTCAGATGAATATGAGATGCATCATTGTTTTTTAAAAGGAAACAGATGATTGGAAAGAACATTGTAAAGTCTTTATTTGAACAGATTTAGGTTTGTTACTGACATCTAGGCCATGTCTTATTCCATGATGATTTATATAGCTAAGAAATCATAAAATGTAACTTTTATGGTGAATGCATAAAATACATTTATTCTTTCTAGGGATGGAGCAAAAGAATGCCTGAGTAATTCTGGAGTATGAGCTTGTCATAAGCTCATTAATCTATATAAATGAAATTTCTACTTGTTTCAGAGGGATTTAGATATTTTACCTTTGTATCATCAGAATCGATTCCCTTCAAAGTAATCTATTACTTTGAATAGTGTACTTGGAAGAAACGTTAGCATTCACAATTAAGGCTATATAGAACTTGTTTATGTGTTCCTTTTGTAGAATTTAATTTAATTAATCTTTTGAAACCTTAGCTATGTTTGACCACATTTTCACTACAGGATCATATGGAAATCAGTTATATTTCTTTCTAATGACAAAACATATACAAGTCTCAGTTCATAAAGACAGAAGTAAAAACAGAATAGTATTAGTTGTTAGTGATGTCTGATTGGGGAATAATCACAAAAATTTTTATTTGAAAAATCTGCAAAATTTTATGAGACAATTTATAGTTTATTCTTTTGAATTATGCAGTAGTAGCTCCTATAAGGGATTTATGCTTGCCATTCATAGGTACAGATTGTGAGAACACTAAAATATATGAAAGCTCTACTCCAAATTGAAAATCGAGTTACTACTACATTTCTAGTGATGCCACTGACATGGTCCTCTGGGTGGACCTGTAAGTGACACTGAGGGGGTTGCACTGATTTGATGGACCCAGCACACACATTAATGAGATTCTATCCAAGACTCAAGTGTACCTATGGCCCTGGGTCAGACTTTTTTTACTTCAAAAAGCTGAATTTTTATTAAATGAAAATTAATGCTCCCACTGTGGCCTTGAGAGTATCATTTGTTTCTGACCAACTTAACAGTTGTCCAGACTCAGAAATAGCAGGTCATTAGGACAGAACTCAGTGTTTTACTGTGAAGCAAAATGATGAAATGAAAGGCTAGAGTTCATTCAGTTTCAATGTCTCCAAACTGAAGGAAGCTGAAGTCTTCACCATTTTTCAAAAACAGCCAGTTACTCCCTGTTCTGCTTTATTCTTATATGATCCTTTCACATATTTCTATTCTGCATTCTACTTTCGACCTTTCGCTATTTCCATCCCTGTCTTTGTATTCATCTTTTCTTCTTAGTTTTGAAATCATTTCCCTTTGGGCAATCTGCCTTCATCCTTTCCCCAGTTCCCTTTCCTTGTCTTTTTAAAGTGTGAGGCACATTCCAAACAACTGTTTATTACTCTTGTCATATGCTTCACTAAGACATTATTTTGTTGTTGTTTACTTTTACACATTTCTAGTTGTTTTTGGAGACGTTGGGACCTTATTAGTTGGTAAGTTATTGATGTCCTCAGGCTTTCTATTCTTCTGTCTATAGAAATACAGATTCAAACGCTTGTCAGAGTCCAAAACATGGAACTTTCATCACAGACCTTACATTATTTAATCAGGCCCAACTCTCTAAGTCTGCAAAGATTTTGCTTTAAGTTGTCACACCCTCTTTTGCAGTTGCTATAATACCCTAGTTTCCAAGTTTAACACTGCTCTGCTTTGATTAAATGTCATCTCAGTAATGCTGAGAGCTCCTTGAATTTGCCAGTTAAATTTTGACTTTGCATCCTGTCTCTCATACCTTCTCCCATAGTGTTAGTCTCTTGAAATCAATAAATCTACTATCTGTGTTCATTATTCAATTCCATAGTGTTATAATCGTGATCAATTCTTAGGGGACACCATTAAGTAAGTATTACAGGGAAACCTTCTACAGATAGCAACTTTATTGTAAAGATGCCTGTCTTCTTAAATGGGTAAATTATCTTGGCACAGATTTGAGAGAGGAAATTATTTCAACCTCACCTGTCAAGAGATTTGCTTTTTTCCAGAAATGTGAATGTTCTCCTCAAGGGATTTATTATATACTACAATATAATGGAACTGATTATCTATTGAATAGATGGAAGACCAATATAGCCAAAAAAAAAAGACGAGTTTTGGGGGAAAATATCTATAGTACCCTCAAACTAAATGGGTTATATTAAAATTGTTAATTCCATTTAACGTTTAGACAAATAAGAATTCTGATTAGGGGATCATATGGACCTAAAATATAAAGCTATAATGTGGATTAAAACATTTGAAACATCTGGAAATTTGCAAAATGCACATGTAATCAAATCGCAATACAAGAAAGCTTTTCCCAAATGATAAGATAAATACTAGAAGAAAGAGGAGAAATGGAAGCGAACATCTGTTTGCTTTCCTGGGTTTTGCACAGTATTGTGTGTTAAAAAATACTGTCATTGTGTTATTTCCAAAACTCATTCTTTCAATTGATTTGATTTTTTTCTTTAATCCATATTCATTGATGTTGAAAATTCAGTCATACTGCATTTATGCACTTCAGTAAGTAAAAGGTGGTTGTGTATTGATTTCATTACACTCAACTTGGTTCATGCAGATTCTTGAAATTGCACTAAACTCTCAATGTAAATGATTGTTGTCTTTTTATTGATCAACACGTCAGCTCTGTCACATAAAATTATCTAAATCTTGAGATGGCCAAGAAGAACACAAATTCTGTCATTCAAGCCAGTAAACTAACACCTAGGATAGAATTTTAATGTCTGTTCATGGATTCAGTTTTCCTTAATAATACTAGGGAAAGCTTAATTGTCTTCTACTCTTTTAGAATCACCTAATTTCTCTCTTTTCCTCTCCTCTGTTCATTACATGCAGATATAATCCAACAGACAAAACCCTTGTAGTTTGGCAGTAACAGAACAATTCTAAATAAAGGATGAGTTTTATACAAACTATTGTGCTTTTCATGCACTAACAAAAATGCCATGTGATTTTACTCTTTGTGTACACACACACACACACACACACACACACACACACACACCCTAATGAAAGATAAGTAATATCCCTCATCAATGATATTTTATACCTTCCGAATGAACCTCGTTTTTGTTCTTTAAGCATTGTTGCTTTAATTTGTTCATAAACGTTTTTGGAGATATATGTCATCTTAGTTAAAACTCTATGCTTGATTGTGCTAATTAAATGTTCTGGTGTTTATTTGATTGAAATTTTAAGAGTACCACTTTAAGTACTCATTCTTTGATTCACCTATGGGAAGGTGGCCGGTAATCTCATCAACAACTAGAACATTAAAACTGATTTCTAAATATGTGGATTTCATTTTAATGTATGGCTGCTGCTTTGTTTTTCTAATAATGGCAGCCTCAGTTATTTTGATGTTGTGTTTTTATGGACATTGGTAACTTTCTATATTATCATTGTCCTTTCAATTGAATGCTTCCTCAGCAGTTATATTTTAAAAGCAATTTATGAATAGCTTCTCTTGCTGAGGATCAGGGACAAAATCTTAAAGCTAATAAGTTTACTACATTATGAATGGAGAAGACATAAGGGGCATAAGAAATGGAAGAAGTACTATGCCTTAATTTTTTTAAGGAGGTGTTGTCCTAGGTAAGTAAGATCTCAAATGAGATAGGAAATATTTCCTGTGAGGAAAAGGGAAGCATAAATGTTTTACTCATCCAAAATACTTCTAATTAGAAAACAAAAGTTTTAAAAAGTGTATCGTAGAAAACTTTCAGTTTTTACATATAAATCAGAAATGTATTTATTTATGTGATATGTCTAGATTTTTATTAAATTGATTTTTCCTTGAATTCATTATCATAGTGGCCTTTATAAATGTCTACAATTTTTCTTTACTTCTCTCTCTGCTTTGCCTTACATAGTTAACTTAGGAAAACATGGACAAATGTTAAATTCTCATTACTAACTTTTAATATCTCCTGATTTACTCAAACTGCTCATCATACATTCTTTCATGAAAAATTAGACAGAAAACTTAAAAGTGTATTAAGGGTGCTGTTTTTCTCATTATCCAACTTGTTCATGCTGTATTCATAGAACAAGTTTTCATTCTATTGAGGAAAAATTGGCAGTAAAAGCAATCGTATTTATTTTCAAAAAAATGTGCTGTGCTTTCTAAAAATGTTTAACTTGATCCTGGAACTGTGTGGAAAATGAGATTGCTCCTCCTGTGGGCCATCAGCCTGTGTTCATGCTCCCAGCTGGGGGTCACACAGAGGACTGGCACAAGAGTGCTCATAAGTGTGAGCCACCTCAGATGGGGAAGTGAGACTGGGGAGTAATTGTGATTATGAATGAAAGGAGATAATCGTGCGCTTTCTAGAAGTTTCCTATATTGGAAATTATAGTTGGTGGCATACAACTGGTTATGGTTAAGTAGTTTGAGGTTATGAAGTGTGAAGCAGATACTTAAAATAAAATGTTTTTAAGTAACAGCACCCATTTGTTTGTCTCTCTATCAGTCCAAAGACAAAGCCATT